ACAGTCCAGCGTCACATAATAGGAAAGTGAAACATTCATAATAAGTCTCAAACATACAAAGGCAAATACCGAGTGTAAAGTCAAATAAGACAGTTAAACAAGCAAATAACATTACAGCGGCTAGGATCAAAGGTACGCCATCCATAAAGAGGGTAAAAATGTTAAAATAAATGTCAATACAATCAAACAAGGGTGACCGGGAGGGATTTTTAGGTCGATTTTCCGTTACAGTAGTCCCCGGAATGCAATGTTTCACGATAGGGGCTGTACTAGCATCTGTTTGGTCTCCTGTATCCATTAGGTGTGCTGTAATGGAACTTCTAACGGACTTAATCTCTATTTTTGTAAACCATGCCAGCAGGTGTTCTTGTACCCGAAAACTGGCTTTTTCTAGTTGTTTACCCTAAATACCTTATCCCATAAGACTAGCTGAAGAGGTATAAAAATGATGAGCTCATATTAGGTGTGGCATCCTTAAGTCTAGGGGTGAACAGTGGTCGACTACTATAGTATAGACACAGACGTCCAGACAGAAAAGTTTCATTTGTGACTCTGGATAGACGTTATGAAAAAATTCGTCTGAAGTATTGTATTACAGACGCAGAAAACTGAGCACAAGGTGTTCTGGAAGTCCAGTTGGTGCGTTCAAACGAACTTATTACGATTAGATGCCAGAGTAGAAAAATGTGGATATTTGGCTCACGGTTCTAATATTGAGCAAGACTATGGTCTTTGGTGTGAACTGGTGCCAGAAAACGTGAAATACATGGTTCTGCGGTCATTGAGGAACAGTAAATAGCAAAAAGTGCAAATATTCCCCTGTCAAGTTTTCACTATTCTTACGCACGATATGCAAGGTGTAACAATGGAAGTAATGGCCTCAGGTTTCATTTCTCTCGTGGCAAAGCACGTAGTGATTAAGCGCGTTACCTGCTTTCTCCTTAATATGAGAACAAAACTCCCACTTGTCAGTCTCGTCAACTTGTGCACACTAATCCCGCAGCCATGCTTTGCCTGATTAACATATAAGGCTTATGCCTTCCAGTGACCGAACATGTGAAGCGAAACTGCCTGCCCTTAAAAAATGCGCAATTTACGTGGAAATCTACACAAAATTGTGAAAAAGATGTATGACCGCGTAGTATTGTTATCATTGTTGTTATTATTAAATGAGAGCCTTTGAGGAACTCATCCAGAATTGCTTCTTTGAGAACGAACTCGTTGAACTGCTTTCCCTTCTTCTTTGCACGGTTCCCTTACTCATTCAATAAACATGCTCTCCATTTCCCCCGAAAACCTCATGCCTGTGAATGGACATTAGAACCCAATGTGTAACTGAAAGAGCATCATTACTATATGGTGTAAAATCTTTTTCCAGCCCGTGGATTACCACTACCCGGAATGAAGAAGGGAGAGTGAACGGCATTATGGAAGGTGTTTCGACACCAAGATGAAATTACCAGATCTGTAAAAATGATGTGCACTTGTAAATTCACGATCAAACATTGTTATTTGTTCTTTTTTCGTTGGTGGTACCAGGCAACTGAATGCCATAAACAAACTGCCTGGCAAATTGGACAATCTCGAAATGAGTGATTAAATGCCGTTTCCCACTCTCGTAGCAAGCGCCTCTACTTGCAAAACTCTTAATATTATAGGTACTTTTCCATGCAGCATGGGCACTTTCCTCTGAGCTGCGTACGTGAGTAAATACCTAAAGTTGCACCCATCTGTATAAAAGTTTGTTTAACATGCCAAGCAACATATCTAAGGGAGGCTCCACATGTTTGTTGCCCAGGGTGAGTGGTCTGAAAGGGCGGGTTCCATCCTTGCCGCTGTTGACCTGTTAGACGTCTGTGCAGTTTTCGCCTGTAGAAAATCATCCCACGGATACTACTCTTAAGCTACCAACCATCGCCGCACTTTAAGGCTCGTGAATATTACAACATCTGAGAGTACCACGTGCAAATGCATTTCAGCCGCTGCATATCATCGTGCCACCTTCCGTAGCGTCTTCTTTCTTAAGGAAGAGGTGCAGTTCGTGTAGTTGCAGTAGGATTTCTTTCGACGGCTCCGCTAGTTACTAAGTGTGGAATCCCGCGGGACTGCCTTGAATCCACACGCTAGTGATTTTCATGAATCCACAGATTTTCGGGTTGTCGGCAACGCGTCGATGAAGAGCGTACAAACCAGGTGGAAATCCGAAGACTATCGGATGTCTAAAATTTCCGACACCTCATGAAATCACATGAAACGACCTGATCTGTTTTGATTTCACTGGGGGTCTTCAGGACGGCAATAAGCGGCTTCGCCTTCTACAGTTCACAACCCAGAGAGTTCTTGATACCCACGCAATCGTTCACTGTTCCCAGGATTAAAATCGCATCGTCTCGCAAACCAGGGAATTTACGACTCTTTCACGAGCCCCAGTTTCAGTATCACGGACGCACCACTGAAATCAACACCACGCCAGTTCTTCAAATTTTTTTTGCAAGGATGGCAGTCAGTTGTCGGAAAGCCAGTTCAATCGACTGATCGCCAGTTTTTAAGAGAAGCACGAGGCGGCCACAATTGGTGGAACATCTTTCCAGGTGAGCACGCACCTGACATTTCAGCGTTTTTGCAATGCATTCAGCCTCTTCTTAATCTATGCAAGTCTGCCAGTCGTTCGTCTACAGTAACACTGACTGACAGCTGCATCACTCAGTTTTTCGTAAAGTATACCTTCGAGGTACTTCATCAAACCCTGGACAAATTTACGATCAGCAGGATCTGGCGTGCAACGGACCCTAATTTTACCAGCAACCCTTGCTCGCCTCCATTGACCACCATTTTACTGACCATGAATCCGAGATTACTGGTGTTATCCTGGGGGTGAACCTCCTCTCCACTCTGAAAGCTACAGCCGAACCCGTAATGCTATGTCGCATGGTACGTTTTCACGAGCTTTCCATGCTAACTTCCACGGACAAGGGAAACGTTCGGTGTCCCGTATTCTTCTAGCTTAGCTTGTCTTTTGGATACTATCATGCCTTTGCCAAAATAATGCGGCTGGGTATGGCACTATTGCCTTGCTTTGTAGACATGTTTGATGATGGACAGGGATTCACTCGCATGGATGTCACCTGGCTTTAAATTGGGACCGCCCACCAAAGCATAGCTCAAGCACGGCGCCAGTCTCTTGTCTCTTGTCACCCTTAGCTAGACACCAAGGTCCAAAAAATATTGAGGAAAGGAGTCATCTTGTCCTTCACTTTCCCGTATGCGTCACGCATCGCGCTCGCTAGTCAGGAAGGCAGGTCTCTTTGACTATGTGCAGACTAGTATCGCCAACTGCCGTTGGCCGTCGTGACTGATTTCCACTGCCTGGGACGGCGCTGCACCTGATCCATAGGAGAGAGGTTTCAGTGTCTTTCAACTGTCGAATTAGCCTTCAAATCCTTACAAGAGAAGATCTGTCCTTTAATCAAACTTAGAACTGAGTTTACCCTACTGAGTGGCTTAAATCGATTCTAAATCATGCCATTCAGGTTGATGACGGCTCGCATTAAGTTTCAAGGACTGAAGCAGGTAGTTGTTAACAGTACGATTCCAAGTCATCTACTTCTGTGACACAGGGTATTCAAGCGCGATGAAAACTTGTGGGCTGTTCTGAAGCGTATCCACAGTAAACATCTAAGGATGAAGCCTTGCGGAGACAATTCCGACTTCGACTGTTGAGTTGTGCCTTTTGAGTTCAGAAAAATAGCCGGGCTCGACAGTTGTCGCCCAGCTTTTAGGATACTCTGTGACTGATCATTGGCTACAGAAGTTGCAAGGCGTAATTTTACAAAACAATATACGGGGGATCATATCATTTGAGTCCCGATGCACTAAACCATACCCTGCCGCACATCTGAACACACTGCATCACCAACCACCAATGAAGTACACCGGATTTCTGCACTGAGTGCAGATTCAAACCTACAAATAGTCTCTAAACACCACTGGAGAGGTACCGACAATTGATTTGGCCACGAGTTGGGGGTGATGATAATGATCATCCGTTGCATCTGCACAAAATGGGGCATATGTACCTAATCTGTGATCCGCTGTTCTCAATCGAACCTGTTAAATCTGTCCCTCAAGCTGTCTTCAGCCATTAGGCCAATCGACGTTAAAACTGCCAGAAGAACATCCAGGATAATATCGTAACTTTGACAGTTTGGTAAATAGCCAGCTATATGAGGTGACAAAAGTTGGGAAAACCCAAACGGTAGAGCATTATCATCAGGGTAGTAAGTTGAGGAGCGACCTAACTTGACTCTCAAGAAACTCCTTTAGGCATTCGTGGATTAGGGAACCCTCACAAGTTGAATCGCGCTTCGCCCCCATGACTGGTGCTTTATGATGTCGACATTCATAAGTATGCATTTGATGGCTACCGTGAAAGAGCTTAGTTTACCAACAGGTCTCATACCGAGGACCCTAACGGAAAAAAGGCTGGTGGCATTTGAAAATGTCCCCACCTACAAGGAGACTTAAGACTTAATCCCCAGACAAGAGATACACCTCTTGCACCGCAAAGACATCCCTGACAGTAACATAACAGGAATGCAAACGGAGTGCTGGTGAAACAATGAGTACCATTCTGCTCTTGAAGCAGGCAACAGCGCGAGAGAAATAGTCCGCGTTTACCAAGAATTAGGGACACTGTCCTGGAAGCAGCTAGTTAAAAAATGTCACCACATCTGTCTAAAGCGCAGCCATGCACTTTGATGAACGAATTGTGATATAACGTGCAGGAAATGTATACATATTTTTTCTTTAGTTATGTTTTTTGCTAGAACAAATACTTATTTAATTGACTGGTTAGGTGCTCGTAGCTTAGGTTTTAAGATAAAATGGTGTCTTTAATCCCGACATAGTATTAAATTCCACACATTAGGCTTACATGATATGATTTAAGATACCAACAGAGTAAACTGAATATTTTAAAGCCGCCAAATCAAGTATGATGGTACTTTCAAGGTCAAAAGTGAGTAACGGCTATTTTCTGTTTTTTAGACATTGAGACAAAATTAACTTCAGGACAAAGTCAAATTTGTATCTGTACTGAGTTGTACAGATTGAGTTCTTCCTTGAATACTGCATAGGCATATGTTTTTATACGCTTTTAACGAACAACCATAGGAGAAAATCCATAAAACTGTAATTGCGCCAACCCGCCAAATGCTGACTGAGATGTCTACATGAGAATTTCCTGGAAATTTATAATTTTCATTTTTTTCACATTTTCCACATTGTGATCACAAAGTCAATCGATTCACATCGTTCTATGATTATTGGAAAAACTTTTAATGTGAAAAAGTTGAGTGGTACTACTATCAAGTACTTCCTCAGGTTCACTTCCGTATGGATGTAGTGCAAATAATTGTTCGTCTGTTTTCCTTTTTGTTTCGTCCTCATCCTGGTTACTAATCAGTAATTAATGGCTATTAGTAGCATGGTCAAAGGCTGATAACAAAGGGAATGTAAGGTGTTCCTCACAGTTTGGTGTTCTATGATCACATGCAATCTTCATTTGGAAGTTATGTTAGCATACCAAGACATCCTGTATGAGAAATAAGAAGTGAATGAAATCTTCCATGAGAAATAAATAGTACTAACAACCCTAATATCCTTCGCGTACTGCATGCAGCACTGTCTGTTTTCAACAGAAGCTCTTAAATTGTGAATATGTACAGGAACTCCAGCTTATACCAACTTACGACTTTTTTGTTGAAGCCTCATCTTCACATCTGAAGACTCAGCAAGTAGTTTCCACCTGCAACGGCAACGAATGTAAAATTCCCCTATTTTCATCATCAGATTTTGTTTTCATCAAGTGAAGTCTCCTTGAATCTTATTTGTGTCAGTAGCTGCTTCTTTATTACCCCTCATTGTCGCCTAATACTTCTGAGATTGTTGCTAACCTACTACAAGTAAACACCCAACCGGAACTTCTAACCCTAAAGTGGTGGTCAGGCTTGCTCATTACAATGCCTCCAAAGGCTGTGCGGTCTGGAATGTTGCTTCTCTGAGGTTCTACCATGCCAGGAAGGTCTGTCGGATAGTGGTAAAACGAAAAGCAGTTATCTTTATTTTATATAAATTGCTACCTTATTATGCATTCTGAGGCTGGATTTAAACTGCAGACTGGATGAAGCCTAACAGGAGTAACGTGTCCCTCGTGGATGGCCAGCAGTCCTATGATGATTCTTCCTTACGTATAAGAAGGGGAGTTAGAAGAGCTTTCCCTCCCAAATAGCACACTCGTCCTTTCCAAGTGGTCTTCCAGTGCCGGCTGTATGGGTTTTTTATCCAACGTTAGAAAAACCAAATCTCGAACCAAAAATCCTCCATAGGCCTTATGACAGGCCTCATCTAGATGTCCCTTGGGCTCTGCGGTCACATAAATCCTTTCTTTTTTCTCCTTTAGGCACTGTGGTGAAACAACTTCCACGGTGTTAGCAGCCGGGAAGTTTCAACCACCTACACGCTTCCAGTAGTATACGAAACCCAACGAAATTTTACCTGACACGTTGAACTGTAGTTTATGTCCAGTTGATGGTTTATATTAACAAAAAGACCATCTAGTTGCAATAAATTCATCATATTCTGTGGAAATAATTTCTGTACATTTTTTTAGACTCCTTGACGCTTAAAAGCAACATATTTCTATTGTTCTCGACAACGTTTCAAAGAGTCACTAGTGTAATAATTGTACTTTATGTAATAATGACTTAAAATAAATTAAGTCATGGGGAAGCATAGGTTTTATGTCTTACTAAATATCTACTTTCCCTACGTCAGTTGCCCACATCTGCTTATAAATGACTACAGACGACTGAAACCAATGTGGTATAACTTGAATTTCTCGTTGGGATTGGATTTAACAGTGCAGCCTGTTGAATCTGGTTAGGTAATTACCTGAAGATGTGACCAAGCCAGATGTTTACGAAAACAAGCTTTCAAATTGCGTCAGTATCAAGTTCACGAATTTCCTGTGTATGATCACCAAGTTTTGGGACCCAGAGATAGAACCTCTAATTGAAGCTTATCTAGTACAACACTGGGTCAGCAGGAAATTTTCTCTCCGATGTTAGGTTTTCTAAAGATTTGACAAGACTTACTCTTTTCTTATCTGCTGTATTTTGTGTAACTTGATTTACATAATCGAGAAACGTTTTTAATTTCTGGGCCAGTTCATCCACTGAAAACCTTCTTTAAATGTATTTGAAAAGTCAGAGTTGATGTCGTACTAAATATTATATGGAATGTTACTTATGTAGCGTCTATCATATATGCAACCTTTCTTTTTTCTATCTTTATTACCTAGCACGTTATTTGAATGAAAACGATAAGGAGTGATTGTATAACGCAGATGTTTCCCTTGTTCTATTGTACCGATAAGTCGAGACCGCTGAAAATGCTTGATCATTTTATGACCAGTTTTTTAAGGGCACTAACAGCATGTTATGGAGCTATAGAATAAGCATTGAGACAACTCATTACACTTTTAATAAGCAGAATAAATCACTTGATGGGATTGCATTCCTACACTGAATAAGATAGTTGAAAAATTTGTCACTCACATTTGTTAGTGGATACAAACAATAATATTAGTGCAGTAGAAGCATATACATAGTCAGTTAGGAACGTTTCACCAATTCGTTAAGCTAATGACTGTCAGCCAGTGTAAAAGGAATTCGCTAAAACCGTCAATATAGTAAGAAACACTTCCGATCAGGGAGCAAGCGTTCTACTCTTATTAGTAGACATGATTTTGTCCTTGCTAATATTACTGCTCACTTCATTGTCTCCCTACATACTGCTTTATCTACCTTATCAGTCCGTTGCCACCGCTCTATTTCAGTGTCTAACAAGTTTCTTAGTCCTATTAGTTGTTTGATGAAAACACTTTTTCAGACTTTTCAAAATTATTTCTTATACATTTGTTCTTTCCTTATAGGTTCAAGATGGTACATTCCTTTGGGTAAAGAAAATACTTACAGACTGAGTTTTGATAATACTACACAAAATCTACAGTCTACTAGCTGTTCGTAGAAAGTCTTTTATTCTTATTAATGTCGAGATGATTCGTCAGCATGCTGAACATGTAACATGTGCTCACAAAAAAAGCACATTTTTTTTATACTTCTCGTCTGCATATTTAAATCCTTCATGCTGAACACCAAAAATACACTTAGCTCTCAGTTTTTTATTCCAGTATTTCATGTCATACAGTAATAAAATCAGCACAGTAATTTAATTATATATGTGTTCATTCACCCCATCTGAACTCACTACCCCGTACAATAAACCCTATGTAAATAAAGTCTTTCTAATTGGAACAATTGTTGGTATACTATGTCTCACCAGTGGATCTTTTGTCATATTATTATGGGCATTTATACCAGAATTCGTTAGATTGCATCGTTTTGCTGTGAAAATTAGTGCTATAATGTGCGTGGCTGGTGTTATCATTGTTTCAGTCAATACTGTCTGTTTGTACTGTAGACAGTGCCGTGTAATCAGCAATAAGAAGAAACGGAGGAAAACGTTGAACACAGTAAAGAATGGAGTACACTACTTCGATGGAGAGTTATATCCTGAAAACGAAAGTTTTACTACAAAATACCAGGTAATGCATACACTTTCTTCTATACTTAACTTATTTTGGTTGTAGTGATCAATTTTGAACATCCGAGCTGCAGCACTCAACTTCTTTCTGTCTGCTTAACTTTAGACACCCGTATATCATACATGATTTTGACCACTAGTCGGAGTATTTGTCGACTAGCACCATGTTCTGATGTTGACATTCTGAAAATACATCCATTCTATTTTTCGGTGGTTAAATGTGTATTACGCATGTTAAGGACCCAGCAGTCGGTAGAGATAAATATCATCAGTTAGATTTCCTCCATTACATAATACTTCCACTAAGTTCCTAATGATCCCATCATACAATGATCTTTGATTAAACCTGGAGAGTTTGAGTGGAGCTTACATTAGCACATTATCTAGGTATGTTTCTCCGTAAAAGATATTGTCATACGACCACTGGATTAACAGTCACACACCGCCTCTAGGTTAAGAAATGTAACTAAGTGCCAGTAGGTATGTTCTTTATTCCTATGAACTAGGCAGTCCGAGATTCCAGCCAGGGAAAATCATATACAAGTCCTATAACGCAAGTTACATTTCCTGTCTGTTCAACAAACTGACCTACCTTATCTTTCAGTTGTAGGCTATAATTGTCTGTTGCTTGTGCTCGTTCCAGACTAGTTGAATGATTTGTTAGATAATTAAAGATAGTTGATAGGAAGTCATGCTTCCTCGCACTCATCAACAAAATGTATCTCCAAGCCCAAGAAAATTAGTGCCGCCGAAGTGATTCGAACGTGAGTCATTACAAGTTATACACAGAAATGCTAACTCGGAGATATCTGAACCAACTGTTATGGTATACTAAACCTTGTTTTAAGAAGCATAAATAACCTTTAGAACGAAGTTGAACCAGATGATCTTCACTATTGATTCTGTTGGCTGGGACTTTAGGAGAACTACCTGAAAATGCCTATTCTTTGGTATCCCTATTTATCCACTGAAGTCCCTCAGTGGCTAACATACTTCTACATTCGTTGTTGAGCTGGACAGGTCCGAAAAGAACTCACTTTCCGCTTCAGACTGTAGTCAGTGTATGCTGCAAAAGATATGCACGTATCACCGCGCTTTTGAGTTTGGATTATGATGACAACACAAACCGAAGAGATACTACATTAGTATTTTTGATCTAACCAACAAGAACGCATAACTGCGCAACTCAGCCTGTATACATATCCGCAACTGATCACGCATGATCGTCTTAACGTCTAGCGTGATACCTATTTTTGCAATTATTTTCTGAACTCTGTAATTGTATCATTTTAACTTAGTATTTACATTTTTCTTTACATTTATGTAGCTTCCCGCTCCAAGTTCACTGTCTATGCCTGAGGTGTTCACTACAAATGGTAACTTGATGAGAAAAACTTTCGTCTCTCTTGGTTCATTGGAGCTGGAGAAATTCGAAGTTGTTGGAGTTGTACACAGAACAAATTCCAATCTTGACGTTGTTGGTATTGATAATGGGGACAAATCGGTTATCGGAGAAAAATATAAAAACAGCCATCCGGGTGGTTCATATCCAAATATATTGATTGTTGATCAAGTTTCCAATCTTCTGTCTGGTAAAACGTTTTACTTTCATAGTGGTAATGATGATAATAATCAAGATTCTACAAACATTACCACTGGAACTACTACTAATACTGATGAGACCACTCCTATTTCTGTGACTACTAATAATAATAACGTTTTCAATACAAATTGTCTAAAGAAACTCTATGCCTCAGCAAGAAGCATACCTTATTCACTTCCTCGAGTTTCTATTCGCGAAATCCAAGAGATTGAGCCAAATTTGCCAGTAACTTCTTCACATTTTGTCAGTGTTCGTAGAACAAGGTAATCTGATCATATTATTTCCCTTAGTATACGTACTTAATAGTTTAAAAAGGAATATTCGTAGTCTCATTGGTGTTATGTCAGTGAAGATGTGATTCACTGATCTAGGCACTCGATTTCCTATGTTTAAACTCATACTCTAAGTGTGCTTCACATAAAACTGTACTAGTTTGTTGAGTTGCACTAACTTGATTTCACATTTCAGAATACATCATTTACTCAAAAGATGTACAAAAATGGTTGTAATGTTGTACCGCTTTAAGCGGATACATAGTTAAACAGCAGAATGCAAGAGAAATTCAACAACAGTGGAATAGTTGACAAGAAGGGACATCACCTTTTCAGCTTTGTCCATCATTAATCATAATCTTGACGTGAATTCCTTCTTCTTCAAACCTCTGCTTACATCTTGGATCGTTCAAAAAAACGTAAATCTCCCCTACTACACTTCCTATACTTCAGCTCTACTTTTAGTCTTATCACGCTATTCCTGTTTCTGTAATGACTACAACCGTAAAACGAACTGACAACCAGTAGTTCCAACCCAGCATTAGCTACCTCATATGAATTAACGAGAATAACAGCTTCTAGTTGGATCCGAACTCTTATGGTTGATTGAACAACGGTCTGAAGGCATGTGTCTGAACACAACACATACCATTATCTCTAATTAGGATCATTTCATAACCCTAGCTTCTGTGAATTGATTGCATTCTACCTATTCTTATGCAGCAGTTTCCAAGTTTAGCACAATATTCCAACCCTGAGACTGACTGACTGATACTAGCACGAAGGTAGTGCATGAAAATGGCACTGCAGAGTAGAGAGTATGTATGTGTTGGGCTAGTATCCGTTCGTGGGTCCTGACTCCAGTAGTATAGTTGTACAGATCAAGCTACTCAGTGATTAAAGACAGTGTCAGATGTTGCTCAGGATTTAAGACAATAAACACTAATTTCTATGTCTTCTACATAAATTGTTGGGAAATATCAACCTTTCCGAACGCCCCTATTACTGTCCATTTTTCTGCTTAATTACAATTTTGTATTATCTTGTACAACATACCTATTTGCACTTGGTTAGCACCAATTTGAGAACTTGAAAAGCACAATGGGGCACAGCATTAGACGGATCCATTTTATTTCTTCTCAAAGATAGCTAAATTATTCGACTGAAATGTTGTCACTTGTATTATCCCGTCGTCGATTGGACCGAATTGATCGGTCTCTATTGGCATATGGGCTCTTTTGTTTCAGTTGCATATTAATAATGGATAGTGGCTAATAATGGAGTCCAGGATGCGCGTTCCTTCCTATTTGGGACTGATCGGCTGGATGTACCTCCCCCTCAGTGTGCGGTCCCGAGTTCGAGTCCTAGTGAGAACAACATCGCTCACTGAGAGGCAGGTACACCCAGCTGACGGGCCCCAAATGGGACGAAGCGCGCATCTTGGACTCCACTGTCCATCATTAATATATTCAACTGGAAGTCTAAAATAAGTGTGTCTAACATTCATTTCGCTTACACTAGAATTACAATTTTCTTTTCCCTTCAACAAGGTCCGACAGAATTAAACACGGTAAAATAAGTCGGTCAATCCTTATACCTATGGGCTACTCTCTGGATGGTCCAGCACTGTCGGAATCAAATAATAGTGATCATAACAATAAACCTTCCATCTCAAGTATTGGTTTTGGTGTTAGCAATCGAAGAAGCAGTGATAATAACAATGATAATAATAACAACAAGTATCGTTTCCTTCACAGCACTGAGATTACTACCAGTCATCATAAACCGAGCACAGACTCTGAAATGTCAACGTTTGGAAACTCTGTATCACATACAATCGACACAACATCACCGATTGGTCAAGATAGTCTATTCAATTTGAGTGCCAATACTGTTGTTACTACTCATAACAATGGTAGCAGCAGTATAGACGATAAAATCACGGAGGTCAACAGTAATTCTACCAAACAAACCCCAGGAGTACTACCAGTAAAAGGTAAATCAGTAATCAGTTCGAAACATCAACTGAATAAAGATGATACTGATCAAGAGCGAAATGATGACGGTAACTGCTTCGTCATTATGAAAAGTCCAAACCATCAATCACAAAGTCATCATGTTCTTTCGTGTACAACACTATTCAATAGTGATGAAGATAACCCTAACAATATAAATGATAATAGCGAAGGTGACAATGAGATAGTTAGCATAGACAATGGTGTTAGTGGATTTAGACGCCTGCAGAAAATTTACTCCAAATGGAGCGTGTTTCCAGTTTGTATTGAAAATGAAAAAATGGCAAAGTACAACAACAACAGTAGTGTCGATAAACTTTCTTATGATGATGACAATAATGATAATGTCGAAGATGGTGATGAAAGTAGTGAAAAGAGATTTTCATCACGGAAAACCTCGACATCAACTGTTGCTTATAATGACAAAATAAGAGGGAGCTCAATACTGAACCCTGTACGATCATTGATTAGTAGAATGAAAAGTCATTGGGCTAATTGTCATGTGAATACAAAGAGAAGTATGAAGAATAGAAGAATCCGTCATCAAAAAACAAAGGTAAGTTGATTTTCACATATCCAGAAGTTATCACTATTGCTTTCTTTCTATTGTTATGTATGTTATCAATTGCTCATTCGCCTTGTGAATGTGTTTTAACAACCTGATCTTTTGGTTTCCGACTAGTATATATTGTAGGTTCGAAACCAGCCTTTCCAGTTCAGTCTTTCCTGGAACCTACAAACTAGCTTACTATTTGGTTGTCGTCATGGTCAAGTCAGCCCATCATAATGGATTATCCTAGTTATATTGCCCAAACACTTTCCTGAAGCCTCTAATAAAGTCAGTTGGAGAGCAGCGAAAACAATAGTCTATAGTTTGAGGTCTGAAGATGAATTTATACTAATTTCTGTATTCAAGTGTATAGTGTTATCTGAAAGTAATCAGCATCTTTAGCAATTATGCCCTAATGGAGGTAACCGAGCGAACGGTAGACGTGATAACTACCTCCTTGTTCAGTATTTCCACTTGAATAAAAACAAAATATTAGACTGAATAAAGAGAATCCCACTAATGACCAATTCATCATACGACAAAATACGAGTCTTGTCTCTGGGACATTTGGATGATACATAATTAAAGATTAACTCATGTAGAACTTTTTGTAAGGAACTGAAACTATACGTTGAACATTGAAGTTAGTCTCCAACTGTAAGGACACGTCCTTATTCTGTCGCTGGCCCTTTTATAAAAAGAGGGTTCGTCGTCAAGGTGAAGAAGGGTGATATCTAGTTTGGATTTGAAATAATTTGTAACAGTATATTAGCGTATAGAGCTGGGTTGGTTAAACACTTTGATGGATGTTAGTCGGTTTGAGGCAATCAGCAAGAAGCCATGGATCTATACTTCGTGCTTCTTGGCACTCGTCAGTAAGGCGTGTCTACAACCTCGAGAGAAGTGATTTCCCAACTGAGATTCGAACACATATCACTCAGTGTTGCAGTCAGCAACGCCACCAGTTAGCCATTTGAACCGTGACTGACCTCCCATAGGACTGGATTACATGCAGCGGTTAAACGCTTGCATTCTAACTGCCCCGTAAACACCTTGAAGCCCTTTTCATCACACCCCAGAGTTACAGTAATATAACTAGTCTTTGCAATAAATCCACCTTACAATAAGCAATGCATGATGGATGATGATTGCATGAATTAGCATACAGTTAATAATGGGTCATTAACACGATGAAACATAAACACTTACTCATACAAATAAGTTACACCAGATTCACTACAAATTGAAACAGTATGATTGTCTGTCTATATCGTTGTTTAAATATGATACCTTGTGTATATGATATGTTACCGGTTTACTTAAAATATTTTTTTTTCAGACTAGAATAAAGAAAAGAACTAAAATAAAAAGTATCAGTGAAGAGACAGTACATGAATTCTCTTCAATACACGATTCAAATAAAAATGATACAATACTAGAGAATGATAATGATAAATATCGTAGGCAAACTATCATTACAAACGCGTCTATTTTTTCATTGCCTGCTATTCCACCAGCATTATGGAATGCTGAACGTCCTGTATGGATTATGGGTTTACCATTAAATGATGATATTGACTATGATAATAATGATCATTGGTTTACAGTAGATACAAATAAGGTGATTTTATTAAAACAAGAATCAAAATTAAATAATTTACCAAATTCTAATATTACTGGGTCTTTATCTTCAATTTATGCATTTCATGTACGTCCACCACCAAGATTAAAACCAGTTAATATAAAATCAAGTCGATTACACCGAGAGATTCATCAACATCAGCATACACGTGCACAATCTGTTGGTCAGATGTTGATTTCAGATAAATCAATTTTAAATATTTCTTAGATATCATAATATTAGAGAGAGAAATTATTTTCAAAAGAAAACATACCACTATATCTATCTATCTATCTATTTGTTGGTCAATTCTTTTCCTTAAATGCTACTCTTATATAATAGTTAATTTCAGCACTGTTATATTCCTATTGATTAAACAATTTCAATGATAATCATTTCTTTATCATGTTATACTACTACACCATACAACAACAGGATAGTAGTGTTGTATACTTGTAATACTAAAAAGAGTATACACAATCAGTGTGTAAAACACAATATTATTGAGCATATATTACTAGTGAATTATAAATCTTCTGCAGTATTAGGATGTGTGTAAAAACAAAACAACATTGACAGTAAACACACATTGTAAAGATACTTTCATGAAGATGTAAGGAAAGAAAAGACTGACTTTATACAAAATTTAATAAGTGATTTTCTGTAGACTCCATGATTTGTTCCTATTTCTTATCCTATCTGTTTTTATCATGGTTCATTATTCAAAGGAGGAAATAAAAATATGTAATATAACAGATCCTAACACTGCTTGTCATTTTATAATTATATAAAAGCCTATCAAGATCTCATAATTATTTTCTCCGTTAAAGTATTAAACATTTCATACATACTGAGCTTTTTGTCTGAAAACAAATGCACAGGATTACAAGGATTTGTGAGGAGGAAAAAGGCTGTCCGACTGCAATGCACCCAGACACACACACCGGGAGTTGATGTTAAGCAGCTGTTGATTCTTGCTTTTCTTCAACAAATGGTTCATTTGGTGTCTCTCTGTAAACAACACAAAAAAATAATGATATGATAGAGAAAATAAATGAAATAGAACTATGTGTACATAGGTGAACTATAACTCAGAGGTGATACAGCGTTAAATCCTATACCAATATGCATAGTTTATTTACTGCATACAACAATAGTGTTTTTTGTATTCACTTCGATAATTTTATCTACGTACATCCTTTATGCATGCATATCATCAATGTATGAAGTCTTTGACTGTTGGTTTGAGCCATGTCGGGTGATGCAGACTGGCCGGTTGGAGTTCACGGGACAAGAGAGACTCTAGGTGATATGGCTCAGAACCGATGTCATTGGCGGAGATGTATATATACATTATCCTCATCTTAACGACGCTATACCGAATCTCACCATTTTTCCATTCTTCCTTTCTTTTCGTAGTTTGTATTTCTTCTGACTGAACTTTCTTATCTTCATCTTGCATTTCACTGTCTTACTTGATGTACTGATATGAGGTGTGGCAACTCGGACCGTTACGCAGTAATACCTGGTCGTATGTCAATATTGATGATGATATGCATGCATGTCTACCTCATCGTGGGCTGTTAGCTGAAAATCGGTCTACATTGTGAAAGTGTTAAAGGTGACCAGAAGAAAATGTAGCATCATTCCATGGAATCTCTGAAAGTTGGTCTGAATCGTGTACGGAGGTGCGCTTGACAACCAAAATCAGTAGTTCTAGGTGATATGGTTCAGAATCGATCTCAGTGGTGCAGGTACCTCCACTAATTATACCTTTATCTTAATCATCGTATCGATTTTCTCTGTTGTGTTACGCCTGTCTTTTGATAACTTCCTACTACTTTGATTACTATTTTTGCATATTCCTCTACCTTGGATCTTATAGCCTTCTACCTTGATATGTGGCAGCAACTTAAACTGTTTCTAAATAATACAAAGTTTCAAGTTGAAATTAACTTGATACTATCAGCAATTAGAAGCTGAATATGACACATAGAGCGGAGGTGAAGTAGTCAGACGCATACCAAAGTATTTGCGACAGATGATCATAGGCTAACATAAGTGTATTATTAGGTGTGTATTACTACGGACGTCGACGAATTTGCCTCTGTAAAGCGACGGGAAGTTACAAGTAACAAAACAACAACTGACACCTATTGCATAAGAGGTGGCTGTCGTGTCCCAATAGCCTTTGAAGCAATACGTACTGGGTGCGAGTCCCAGTGGGAACAACAATATCACTAACTGGGATGCAGGTATATTCAACTGACGAGTCTCAAATAGGATGAAATGCAAGTTTTCGATTCCACTGCTAGTCACCAAGATGAATATAATTGTATTACATTACTTCTATATTCCCTAGTGAATGCATAAGGTTGTTCGACATTTATCGGGGAATATAAATACCGAAATAATAAATGTTATTTGCCCAATGCTCCAATTTTTCCGATACATCAAATTTCAACTTGGTTTAGATATCTACAGCTGCATTACACCGGTCAGTCGTGAAAATATGGAAAAATATGCCATCAAGTGATATCCTTTGCATCACATGCAACTTACCATACAGACCCCGTAGACAATGATCTGAGTCCCTACAGGCTACAATTTCGCTTTATTCAGAACAACAAATACAGATAACACAATACTAAAGTAGTAATCAGTCGACAATATTATCCGGTCATCCGCTTCTATTTGTTTACATAGCCTAATCGAATCGTTTCAACGATGAACCCTATGAACGAAATATTGAACTGTATATATACACACACACAGAAGAAATATGGAAAAATGGTTACCGTTCATTATTTGAATCTTGACAGAAACTTGCTAGATAATCGTCTGGGATATCAGTGAATTGAACACTTGGAGCATGTACAAGTTGTTTTAAATTATCGTGCACTGTCATTCGTAATGCTTCAATATACTATACATAGAGAAAAATAAATGAAAATATCACATTATGACTTTATGCGTTTTACATTAGTTGAGTTTGAATAGTAGTGAGTACTGTAGTACTGGTGAAAATCCGATTTCGACATGCATCTAATGTCTGTATCCGTATAGCATATATTGTATAACCTGATTTTTTGTTAATCTTCCCTGAAGATAACTTCCAAGACCAATTCTGAAAAGCCTACAACGACTGGGAAGAGTTAAACCTTGAGAAAACTAATACTAATAGTCCCTCTAGAGAAATTACTAACTGAGAATAAATCCTAAGAAATTAAGTCAAATGATATTTCACTATAAAGCGTGCAGCGAACCGTAAGGAGCGAGAAGATGGGAATACGCTGACTGGATCGATGAAAAGACCACAGAAGAAGATTTGAATTTCGCCGATGATGATTTATGTCTAATGTCTTGCCGCACAAACTCGAAGATCTACACGCAAAAACTAACAACTCACAGAAGAGGCACTTCAAGTGAACGTAGAGAAGACACAGGTGATGAAGATACCCAACCAACAACACCATCAACATCATCATCATTATCAACATAGGATCAGGCATTACTGCCTAACGGTCTGAGTTGCCACACCTCACGTCAGTTCATAAAGTAGAAAGGTAGTGAGGCGAAGGATGAAGATAAGTGAATGCAGTCAAAAGAAATATAAAGTACGAGAAGAAAGGAAAGAGGAGTGACAAAATAGTGAGATTCGGTATAGCGTTGTTAAGATGAGGATAATGTGTGTATACATCTGCGCCACTGACTTCGGTTCTGAGCCATATCACCTAGGGTCTCCAACCACTGGTTCCTCTTGTCCCGTGGACCCCAAAGCATCAACGGCAAGCACCAATCACCATCAATGGGAGGAACCTAAAGGAAGTAGTCTCTTTCACCTACCCAGGTAAGGCAGCATCGTTTCAACTGCAGACGGCACAGACGAGGATGTCAAAACCAGGATGGGAAAAGCAAGACAGGCTTTCATTAATCTGAAATCAGTGTGGAAATCTACTGTACTGCACTACACTCGGCACAAAGAACAAGATCCGGATTTTTAACACCAATGTCAAGTCAGTACTTCTATATGGTTTAGAAACTTGGTTCGTCACGAAAAGCACTTCCAACAAACTACAGACATTCATCAACAGCTGCCTACACTTGATACTGAAGATCAGATGGTCAGAATAATAAGAATAAGCAACAAGGAACTCTGGGAACGAACCAACCAAGAACCTATCACCCAACAAACATGCAGTGGAAGAAAGTGGAGATGTATTGGGCATATACTGAAAAGGCCGATTGGGGACATCACGCGCTAGGCCAGTTCCTCGAGTGGAATCCAAAGGGGAAACGACGAGTTGGGCGTCCGAGGGTGACATAGAGGAGATCATGTGAGAAAGAAATGAAAGCTTGTGGGCAGTCGTGGCGCCAGGTTCAAAAGACTGCAGAGAGGCGTGCTACTGAAGCCTTATGTTCCACTAGGAAACCAAGGGGAAAATAATAATAATAAAGAGTATCCATTTGAACTGATGCATCTACCTTACAAGATTTTAATGTAGATATATCCATGTAACTATTCCCAGATTGCATTAGCATTTCGGGTTGTTAGCATTAATTTACTGGCTTTGACGCTAATTTTTCGACCGCCTTCCACCTACCCAGTATTAGACAGCTAGGACTCCCATTAGAATGTTCATATCTTTGTTGTGTTGTGTTCTCTGAGCACGAGTAAACCACCCAGCTCGGAGAATACACGTAAGATCATCCACCTGAGCTATAAATGTTCTCAACCATCACATCTTATTCTGTAGATACCTCGTAATACAAATGTTTTTTATTCTACGTATTAGGCATCACTTTTACTGTTAATTTATCGTTTGATAAACTCCAGGTATCATATAGATTAATACGTCTTCTGTAGGCTCAACCAAGCAAGATATTCGGTTTTATGATCTGTTGAAAGATATGATCATGAATAGTGAAGCCTAATCGATTTACTGAGCGTACTTGAGTAATCATAGTCTATGCAGAAAATAGTCAAGAAAACATCATCATGAAAATTCTTTTTATAAAAAAAAGAAGCGTAGAGTGAGAATTTAGCAAGTCTGAAGTGTCTTGAACAGTAATAGTCAATCGCCTCATAGAACCCCTTTCCCCATACATAGTTGAACAATGAACTTAAGGAAGCACAGAAGCAAATAAATACTAATGGGATACAGCTTGGTTCCCACACACAAAATTTCTATCCTAAAACACTATAAACTACACCTATTTTATATGGAGGTTAGTGATAATAACTGACTATGTGGACGTCATTAAATACACTGGCATTCAAATCAACGACTCATTAAGAAACAGGCGTCTAAGTCAATAAGCTATAGCCCAGCTAAGATAAGCAAAAACATATCATCCTCCTTAGTTCAAATGAAGTCGTATTACTACTCCGAACATGGGTACTAGTACTGAAAACCAACCCAGTGAAGATGAAAGTAATTTCATCTCTTTTAAAAACCGTCACCAGGCCTACGAAAATTAAGAAAGTATTATTCATTTAGCATTGACTTACTTGTCGTGTATTAGCATTATCTAGCTTGGTTGTTAAATCCGGATGAAGTGTATAATCAGGATAAAAGAATTCAATATACGGTGAATATGGTAATTCATTGGAGATTTCACTTTCTTGATCAAGTAGAACAGCTGTTTCATACGCCCAACAACGTGCTACATTACGTACAGTATAACCTCCACCACCGAGTACTAACAATGGTAAGCCAAGTTCTTTAACCATTCGAACACATCGTCTAGACGATTGGAAAAGTTGAAGAATAAATCAACAATAACTACTAGGTGTCTAAATCGATTTATATTACTTAATAATCAATAAATGCTCAGTAATTTTGCCGTGTCACATATGTAAAGAGAATATGACTAGGTAAAAAGAATAAGTGTCTTTCTTGGACAGTTTAATAATAATTATGCTTATTGGTTATCTATTTTTCAACATCGTTTTGAACAGAAAAAGGTACAATAAAGCCTTGGTTCAATAGTGTAGACAGTTGACTACCGATCACTACATCAAGGGATTTTATTCTCATTACTACTACTTTAACCAAAGTGGTCACATAATATCACACGCTTTTCCTACACATAACCAGCTACATCAGTCTAATCAGCCTAGCGAAAGTATACCTCCAAACGACGATAACGATTTCCGCCTGGTATCTACCACGGACTGACATGAGTTGTACAGCTTGAGAGCTGTTCACTTCTAGCATTGAACTCCTCAGAAGTGCGCACCCATGACCCCATCGAGGATCGAACCCAAGAAATTGACGCTCAGCAGCGAGCACGTTACTACTGAGCCGCTAGGTCGGGGACCCAATGGTTCACACTTTCCTACTTCTGTCAGTTCACGATATAGTGCGACCTTCATCCAATACTGTCGTCAAGTACCTGTCCTTGTGTTCGACTTGGTTCGCCCCACTACTTCTGATTAGAACTTCAGGATATCTCATTTCGAAGCGAGTCACAATTTGGAAGTTTGAGGGGATTTTGTCGATGTCAGCCCGTGATCAATACCAACCTGAAATTGAAAATCAACCAAAATGATAAGTCACTGACAACTATCAATTAGTTGATTAGTATATGTAACGTATTTAGTGACCGAGATAAAATTATTTCAGATTTCGTATCAACTCTACACTGATACACGCTTAATCATTTCAGTTTATTTTGATTATGGAAAATTTACTGTTTTTATCCACAATAATTAAGTGCACTAAGCAGTGAGTTACATTTATTGTGTGAAGGTTGGTGATACTATCTAGCTACCTAAACATCAGTAAGTGATACGGGTCTCGGACCCGTGACCTAGTGGTTGAAAGTCAACTGGTTATACCGACAAGTCACATTTCCATAAGAGCAAGTCAACCGGGTAGGGGTGTTTATGTGCTAGGCTGTAAGATATATTTATTGTGCGATAGCGGATTTTGAACCAGAGAGCTATTGGTTGGAAATCAAATGCTTAGAAACCAGTGAGTTGGAATTCAGCGTGACTGCCCGACGTTCCTGTGATAAACATTGTAAAGAATACAAAGACGTCAATCAAAGACTAAAAAGTTTGAAATTACTATTAGGTCAAGCACCACTACCCACAAAAGTATGGTAGTAACTGCACCACGAACATTGGTGGAATACTTTATTACCTGAATAGTGACTGGATGAGAAAGCAGTAAAAATGTGACGTAATAGTAAGTCAATTCAAGTTGGTGTACTTCCAAACAGCCGTATAGGCAGGTGTAAAATACCTGACTGGGGTCTCCGAGACGATAGGAATCAGTGGTTGAGAAGCCCCGATCAAATAGTTGAATACCGGTCACAATAGCGTCGACGTATTCACTCTTTGGTGTCTTCTAAAGCCTGAATGTTTTGATTAACCTTAATGCTTAAATCCCCTTGCTCTCCTCTCATAAATCATTTTTTCCCCTTGATCTCAGTCTTTTCCATCAACTTGTTCTTTGTGTACTACTGTGAAGTGTGGCAAATCGAACCAAACCACTTGCATGTGAGGTTCTACGTTGATTTTATCTGTCATGATGAATTGAAACTAACAAGATAATGTAATACGTAAATATATATCAACAGGAACTACCGTATCCCCAGTGTCAGTGAATTTCAAGTCATATTATTTATATCCAGTTTCACAGATTTCAACTGTCTGTACCAGAGTATCCTAAGTAAGTTCGACAAATTCTCATGAATGAATGATATATATCTATCTCACCACCCAAAGTAGAAAAAAAGACATTAAAAATTATCACAACTCATTTGCAGGAAAACAGGTTCCACTTACCCATGACCTCGAATAGATAGATTGAATACACCTAACCGATCACAACCCAGTGAATCAGCACCACACTGGAGTACAATAGTCGTGGGCCGATAAAAGCTCACCACATCATTTATCACTGACTTAAAGACACTGAAATACACTTAGAGGAAAATTGGGTAAAAATTCAAAAAAACATCTTTCATTGATTTAAATATTCTCTATTGTGAAACAATAAAAAATAGAGTTGAAATAGTTATGATTTTCGATGATAATTTTGCAGTTTAAGTGCCGATTGAGAAATGAGAAGTTATTTCAGATTTCTCGATAGTAAGTGATCACAATTCCAATCCTACCATCACCTACAAACATACAGGATTGATCTCAGAACATACAGATGTCGCGTTACACATAATACTATCCATCCTACTTTTTAGTCACACGGCATACTGTAATCGGAATTGTCACGATATAGTTCGATTGGATTAGATGTGATAAGATACATAAATTCATATTCATTTGAAGATCTATGCACGAAAATTGCGTAACAAGTTACAGTAGTCACGGGTTAGCGAAACTTTAGCATACTTCAGTCAGGATTTTAACCTTAGTTTGAACGACAGAGCAGCTGACCAATGGTGTAAAGACAGAAATTCCTACATATACCATTCGATGACAGCATATATTCTGATGTTGAATAAAAATCCGAATATTCGGCTGAAACTGTGGCATACACAGAGAAACGTCCAGAGAAATCTCGTTTTTGGTTTTCGTAATACGCTGAGATTACTACTATTTGTTGACATACTTGGATCGAATTGTTCCACCTCTATTGGTATATGGGCTCCTATGCGGATGCTGGATTTGAATCCTGTGATGCAAATTACGCATATGGTCGCACCGGAACCTAGCAGCTTTAAGCTTAGTTCCTCAAAACCCTTCAGTTTTCTAAATTTCATAACCCATTCGAATTGTCGAACAATTCGATCCAACAAAACAATGGAGAATAACAAGTATGTCAATAAATAGTAATAACTATCACCCGTTGTACAAGAAGTACCTACCGTTACTCTGTGGCATAGTGGATAACACTTTGGCGTTTGAAGCGATGGACACGAGGTCCGAGTCCCGGTAGGGACGATATCACTGGGGTGCAAGTACATCCAGTTAGCGAGTCCCAAACAGGACGAAACGCGCATCCTGGATTCTTCTGCTAGCCACAACCAACCAAATTATCATAATTAACACTAGGATTACATTAAAACTTACTTATATAGTCAAAATTATTACTTTAAATGTCTCCGTATACTTAGATATATTCTCCTTTGTTCATCAGCTTCGGTTCTCGACTTAAATACATGTTCCTACACGTTTACTGTATCTTATCCATTAATTAGTCAGGTCGGTAATCAGCTAGGAAGCTGTTGAGTTACAGCTAGCTGATAGGTGCATCGTTAGCGGCTATCACCTACTTACAAAGATGTAACATTGTGAAATAGACGTTGTACAGTTAATCGTCTGTAGCTGAATGAGATAGACGGTAAACAATAAATTAATCCCACTGTTCAACTTGATAAGAAACAAGAAGTATAGATGTCAAACTCTTTTGACATAAATTTTATGTCGAATACTAGTCAAGCAAACTAAAACAGTAACTAAGAATCACCAAGAAAGTGCGGTAAACTATATCACTTATTCACTACTGTTCACTGTAATTGTTGCAGACATTAAAAACAAACTCTCACGCGCAAATCACAATAGCTACCTGCCTTATAGTTCAATGTGTGGTAAACGCAAGTTATATAAAAAGCTCGTTAGAAAAACCAACAGATGGCAACAACATATTGAAACAAATTGAATAATGCAGACAATGGAGACCCATTTTAAGGAAGTGAACAACTGCTGATTGTCAACATTTCAAAGTATAACAGTTGCCATTTGGTTCTTCAAAGCCAAAGATAAAATCCATTGTTGATATCAATAAGGTTTTTTGTGGATCATTTGTTTGTATACGATTTTAAACGCCATCTAAGCCATATACTGAAATAAGTAATCAACCCTAATCTATATAGTTTGAAAAGGTAGTTTTCTTTGTAAGACAAATAAACCCAAATGGTTAATCTCAGTCGTTGTCAGGATGATCTTATGAATAACTCCAGTTATATTCGTTTGATGAATCCAGGTGCTCACCAAGAATTCAGAATAATTGTAGTTCTATTCACTATTATTGCATACACAAGAGTCCTGTTACGAGACTCTTCGGCAGTACACGATAACAACCGTGCCTGGGATCAGATCAAGGACATTCAGGTTTCACGGCGGACACTAACCACTATCAACCACTCAGTCGGCGATCAACAGCGCGACTATCTACCATGGTCTTCAATTGGCATAGGCTTCACTTCATACTGTCTGACCACAGAGGTCACGGTTTCTCATTAGGACTTCAGGATATCCACCTCAAAGTATGAATTTTTAAAGTAATGGCGGCATTATTTTCAAAGTTATATTCATCGCAGAGTCCCAATACCAGAACCAAACAACGGTCCAGTGCTTTCAGCTATTCAATGGTTCTCCAAAGTGCCATCAGTTGGTGATGAATTTATTATTACCATTATTTGTCCCTTGGGTTCCGAGTGGAACACAGGGCTTTAGTAGCACGTCGCCATTCCACTATATACTCTGCAACCTATTGAACCTAGCTCCACGACAGCCTAAAAGCTCTTATTTCTTCCTCACACGATCTCCTCCATGTCACCCTCAACTGGGACGCCAAACTCGTCACTTCCCATCTGGATTCCACTCGAGTGCCTGGCCTGATGCGTGATGTCCCTGAATGGTCTTCTCAATGTATGCCCGATCCATCTCCACTTTCTTCCACTGCATATTTGTTAGACAATGGGTCTTGGTTGGTTCGTTGGCAACCAGCCAGAGTTCCTTGTCGCTTATTCTTATTATTCTGGCCATCTGATCTTCAGTATGGGGCAAGCGTAGGCGGTAGTTGTTGATTTATGTCTGTAGTTTGTTGGAAATGCGTTTCGTGACGCACCAAGTCTCTGAGCCATCACATAGAAGCACTGACTTGACGTTGGTGTTGAAAATCCGGATCTTGTTCACGCTTTATGCTGAGTGTAGTGCAGTACAGTAGATCTCCACACTGATTTCAGGTTAATGAAAGCCTGTGTTGCTTTTCCGATTCTGGCTGGCCTTGACGTCCTCATCTGTGCCACCTGTAGTTGAAACAGTGCTGCCTAGGAAGGTTGGTAAAATATAACTTCCTTTAGATTTCTCCCGTTGATGGTGATTGGAGCTTGCTGTTGTTGTTGTTGGTGGTGGTGGTGGTGTTGGTTGGGTATCTTTATCACCTGTGTCTTCTCTACGTTCACTTGAAGTCCCGTCTTCTCTGCCTTTCCGCTTCTGTCAACTTGTTGGATTTTGTCTGTAGATCTTGAAGTTTGTGTGACATTAGACATAATTCATCGGCGAAATCTAAATCTTCTAAGTTCTTTTCCCCGGTCCAGTCAGCGTATCCCCCTGTTCTCGCTCCTCACTGTTTGTTGCATGATCCATTCCAATACAATCAGGAATATCATGGGTGATAGTAGGCGGCAGCCTTGTTTCACTCCTGTCTTCACTTTCACTCCAAAGGCATCACTGAGCTTCCCATTGTGAATTACTTGGCTGGCATGTGGCGTCTTCACATAGTTGCTGAATGAGATTGATAAAGGTTTGTAGTATTCCGTAGTATTGAAGCAGTTTCCAAATTACCTCTCGGTCGACGTTGTCAAAGGCCTTTTCAAAGTCGATGAAGTTGAGGTAGAGAGTTGACTGCCATTCTATACTCTGTTCTGTGATGATGCGAAGTGTTGCGTTGCAATTTGATCCGCACATGATTTGTACTTCCTGAAGCCTGCCTGTTTTGGTCGTAGTTTTGAATCCAACGCATCCTTTAGTCTCTCCAGGATGATGCGGCTTAATATTTTGTTTGCTTTGGGTGGAGAGGAGCATGATTCCGCGCCAGTTCTTGCAAAGGCCTAGGTTACCCTTCTTCCAACCGCCAGGTACCTTCCCTTCCTTCCAGACCTTCTGCAATAGTGGTGTGGTGTGAGCATGTCCGCTGCTGTTGTCTCTGCGTCTGTTCTCAGTGCTTCTGGTGGGATTCCATCCGGTCCTGTTGCTTTCCCGCATTTCAGTAGCTTTATGGCGTTCAGGACTTCGACTTTTGTTGGGGGATTTGTGTTCACTTGTAGTTTTGTGGCTGGGCTGCAGGTGGTGGTGGTGGATTCAAGACCTTCTTGAAGTGGTCAGCCCATCGTTTCCATTGTTTCTCTTCTTTGGTGAGTCGATTTCCCTCATCATCCTTTATTGGTTTCATCTGTGTTGATCTCTTCCATCCCAGATAGTAACCCGGTTATTTGATACTACCTTAATAATAAAATCTTTATTAACGTCAAAATATAAAAGTCGTATAAGTGTAGGCGGCGGGTCTACTTGACTTGAGTTTTTAAACCCTAGTTGTTCCTAATAGTGAATAGTTGTTCATAATTCTTTCTTGAAAACACCGATTTCTAATAATTTAACATTAAATAACATACATTTCAACGATGTATAACATACTATAATTTTCACATTGACTGAAAAAGGTTTCAATGAACACCGGAGAAAATGGTTTTCATTCGATATCTTATGTTATGCGTAGACAAGCCTAATAACATAGTGGAACTGATAACTTCTGTTCAAATACTTATTGACAAGTCAACATTTCACATGTGTACTGTTATTACCCTCCATTAAACGATCTCCATCACATATTTTCACGTTTCTATAACCTTTTCAGTGCTATCTTAGTCTTCAAAAACACTGATATACCATTAGATTAGATTAGGTTCAAGAGAAATAACTATAAGATTATTAAAGATTTAGTGTGAAAAAATATCTCACTTGAATAAGATAACTCTGCTAAGTGATCAAAACGTGACTAAATCTTGAAATTACACACGTTGATAAAGGGAACAAAGTTTAAGTCCTGTTAATTGTCGCACAAGCCCGAAGATCTACAGGCGAAAACCAACAAGTTAGCAGAAAAGGCGAGACAGTGAAGACGGAACTTCCTTCAGGTGGGCGCAGAGAAGACGGAGGTGATGAAGATACCCAACCAATAACAACAACAACAAGCTCCAATCACCATCAACGGGAGAAATCTAAAGGAAGTTATATTTTACCAACCTTCCTAGGCAGCACTGTTTCAACTACAGGTGGCACAGATGAGGACGTCAAGGCCAGCCAGAATCGGAAAAGCAACACAGGCTTTCATTAACCTGAAATCAGTGTGGAGATCTACTGTACTGCACTACACTCAGCATAAAGCGTGAACAAGATCCGGATTTTCAACACCAACGTCAAGTCAGTGCTTCTATGTGATGGCTCAGAGACTTGGTGCGTCACGAAACGCATTTCCAACAAACTACAGACATAAATCAACAACTACCGCCTACGCTTGCCCCATACTGAAGATCAGATGGCCAGAATAATAAGAATAAGCGACAAGGAACTCTGGCTGGTTGCCAACGAACCAACCAAGACCCATTGTCTAACAAATATGCAGTGGAAGAAAGTGGAGATGGATCGGGCATACATTGAGAAGACCATTCAGGGACATCACGCATCAGGCCAGGCACTCGAGTGGAATCCAAAGGAGAAAAACGATGATATGGACGTGACATAGGGGAGATCATGTGAGGAAGAAATGAAGGCTTCTGGGATGTCGTGGAGCCAGGTTCAAAAAACTGCAGAGAAGAGAGTGAAATTGCAACGTGCTAATGAAGCTCTATGTTCCACTCGGAATCCAAGGGATAAATAATAATAATAATGTCCTGTTAAAAGTTTTCCCTTAAGCCCATCTTGTATCTGGAGAATGTTTCATTACCAAACCGGATACTACAGTTAATCGGACGTTTGTGACTTTCAGAGAGAAAATGTCGTACACACTTACAATTGAAATCAGATAAACGAACTTACTGTCATCATCGATGCCTTCTTTTAAAGGTACATTTACCGCAAAGTATTTACCAGCTTTTGCACCAACCTCATACATATCGCCTGTAAAAGCAAATATTATATATACATACATCAGGTTAATGAACACAGAACCATCGGTAAATTCAAAGGTAGTCTGCCATTACCAGCAAGTAATAGTCGATAAGTTACTAAAAATTGAAGGGTGTATGATAACTACCACGTTAAGCTTTGGACAGAAAACTACGTCTGCTGGATTTGAATCCTGTGATACAAATTACGCATATGGTCGTACCGGAACCTAGCAGCTTTGAGCTTAGTTCTTCAAAACCCTTCAGTTTCCCGAATTTCATAACCCATTCAGCATATGGAAAATTTGTTCTTTCAGATCATTATCATGCGAGAAAAAGATTAAACTGACAGCAAACAATAATTAGTACCTGTTAAACAAGAGGCGGCTATCGTCCCCTAGTGACCCAGTGGATAACACTTCTGTGTTTGAAGCGATGGGTACTGGGTCCGAATATCAGTGTGAACCACATCACTTACTTGGATGTAGGTACACCCAGTTGATGAGTCCCAAATAGGACGAATAGCATGTCCTGGATTCCACTGCTATTTACCAGGTGGACTACAAATCACATCAAATATATTTATAGTCTTAAACACTACATAACATTTACAGGAGACAAGTTTTACTAGAATATCGAAATGGTAAGGCATTTCCGACTTTCATTCGTTCACAAAGTCGACCTTGAAAATAAGAAGTCTGTTTATCCTAGGGAGTTCTACTGTCAAAAGTAAGAAATCTGAAGTTCGGAGAAAAATTCGAAAAAAAAGAGATTATGACTGTGGTATGATAGTTTTTTTAAAAAATATCCACTCAATGAGTTCATCAGTCACAGTCCATTTTTGATCTCAGGTACTTTAAAAAGGCCTTTAACGGTATATCAATATATATTGTCTATGACCAACACATCTTCACTACCATTCCTAAAAAATATGAACTATAATATTGCTCAGAAATGTAGAACCAAAACAATGACTTTTTCAGCCTATATTCATTCGAAAGGAAAACGCACGCCGTTTCCACCACTTGAACTAGGCTTTGACATCGATGTCTGCAGTTCAGTTGAAGTCATAATTTGCAAACAAAAGTATATAAAATGTTAAACTCGCCTGGTTAACTATTTCACTAGTTACTAGCCGGTCCTAAGCCCGGGTATACAGGGAAGGTTGGGCATACACCTAGTAACCCTACCCCAGAAAACAATTCTAACCGCTAAACAAACTTCAAAGCACAAACGAAATACAAAAGATAATAACAAAATTATTCCTAACTGGAATCGGAGAGGCGAAATGACGCCAGTTGGTGAAAGCCTGCCTCCGGGAAGCCAGTTCGCCGATGTGTCTTCTCTTCTCTCCATCAAAGCAAAAGTAAACGTGGCGACATGGAATGTCCGCACCATGTTTGAACCCAGCAAGGCAGCCCAGATTGCAAACGAGATCAGAAGGTATCACACTGAAGTGTTAGGAATTTGCGAAAGTAGATGGAATGGGAGTAGACCCTCCAAACTGTCAACTGGAGAATCAATAATCTACTCCGATATTGTCACCCACACGACAACCACGAACACACTGAGTTTTCGAGTCGCTATCTTCATGTCCCCCTCCCAAGAGCATCGAAGGCTCTCTCTCATGCAGTGGGAACCAATCTCCTCATGCAGGATCATGACAGCAAGGGTCAACTCAAAAGGAAGGAAAGTCAAAATCATACAATGCTACACCACGCACCTACAAATAATGCAGATCAAGAGAAGAAGGAGGAATTCTACAGACAACTGCGGTCAGTACTGGACAAGACACAGTGGGTGACATGAATGCCAAAATCGGAGCAGACAACACAGGAAGAGAACTAACCATGATGATGAACGAGAATGGAGAATCGTTTCCAGGATTCTGTGCATTCAACGATTTGGTGATTGCAGTGAGGCACTGTGTTCAAGCACAAGGATATCCACAAAGCCACATGGATTTCATCAGACACCACGAAACACTAGAAATCAGATCGACTTCATCTCAATCTCAAGAAAATGGAGACGCAGTCAGCCTACTTGACACAAGGTCAAGAAGAGGAGCACATGTAGGCTCACACCACTATCTAGTGCAAAACACCTTCAAAATCAAGTTAAAAGCCTTCAAGGAAGTTGGTGATGATAGACCACAGTTCAAGTTCAACACCCAGAACACAAACTGAAGGACGAAACTACAAAGGAAATCTTCACAGTCAACCATCAAGACAAAATGGGAGATATCGAGGAACATCCCTGAAGAAACCTGTGTGGAAGAACACTGGAAGTCTTTGAAAGCTATATGGAAAAAACCTGCACAGCCGTATTAGGAAGGAAGAAGAAAGAAGCAAAATAAGGAATGGATCTCGATGGACATATGGAAGCTGATAGAGGAGGGAGAGGAGGATGGTGAAGCAGAAGATAAACCAGTGCAGTGCAAGGATGCACAACGAGAAGAGGAACTGAGTACAACGTAAAAAACACTACAATGGACAAAGAAGTGAAGAAGAGTGCACGCAAAGACAAAAGACACTTCCACGACACACCGACAAGTGAAGAAGAACAGGCTGCAAGTAGGAGAGACAGAGACCTGACAACATTGTATCAAATAACCAGGTTACTATCTGGGATGGAAGAGATCAACACAGATGAAACCAATAAAGGATGATGAGGGAAATCGACTCACCAAAGAAGAGAAACAATGGAAACGATGGGCTGACCACTTCAAGAAGGTCTTGAATCCACCACCACCACCTGCAGCCCAGCCACAAAACTACAAGTGAACACAAATCCCCCAACAAAAGTCGAAGTCCTGAACGCCATAAAGCTACTGAAATGCGGGAAAGCAACAGGACCGGATGGAATCCCACCAGAAGCACTGAGAACAGACGCAGAGACAACAGCAGCGGACATGCTCACACCACACCACTATTGCAGAAGGTCTGGAAGGAAGGGAAGGTACCTGGCGGTTGGAAGAAGGGTAACCTAGGCCTTTGCAAGAACTGGCGCGGAATCATGCTCCTCTCCACCCAAAGCAAACAAAATATTAAGCCGCATCATCCTGGAGAGACTAAAGGATGCGTTGGATTCAAAACTACGACCAAAACAGGCAGGCTTCAGGAAGTACAAATCATGTGCGGATCAAATTGCAACGCAACGCTTCGCATCATCACAGAACAGAGTATAGAATGGCAGTCAACTCTCTACCTCAACTTCATCGACTTTGAAAAGGCCTTCGACAGCGCCGACCCACAAGTAATTTGGCAGTTGTTTCAACACTACGGAATACTACAAACCTTTATCAATCTCATTCAGCAACTATGTGAAGACGCCACATGCCAGCCAAGTAATTCACAATGGGAAGCTCAGTGATGCCTTTGGAGTGAAAGTGAAGACAGGAGTGAAACAAGGCTGCCGCCTACTATCACCCATGATATTCCTGATTGTATTGGAATGGATCATGCAACAAACAGTGAGGAGCGAGAACAGGGGGATACGCTGACTGGACCGGGGAAAAGAACTTAGAAGATTTAGATTTCGCCGATGAATTATGTCTAATGTCACACAAACTTCAAGATCTACAGACAAAATCCAACAAGTTGACAGAAGCGGAAAGGCAGAGAAGACGGGACTTCAAGTGAACGTAGAGAAGACACAGGTGATGAAGATACCCAACCAACAACAACAACAACAAGCTCCAATCACCATCAACGGGAGAAATCTAAAGGAAGTTATATTTTACCAACCTTCCTAGGCAGCACTGTTTCAACTACAGGTGGCACAGATGAGGACGTCAAGGCCAGCCAGAATCGGAAAAGCAACACAGGCTTTCATTAACCTTAAATCAGTGTGGAGATCTACTGTACTGCACTACACTCAGCATAAAGCGTGAACAAGATCCGGATTTTCAACACCAACGTCAAGTCAGTGCTTCTATGTGATGGCTCAGAGACTTGGCGCGTCACGAAACGCATTTCCAACAAACTACAGACATAAATCAACAACTACCGCCTACGCTTGCCCCATACTGAAGATCAGATGGCCAGAATAATAAGAATAAGCGACGAGGAACTCTGGCTGGTTGCCAACGAACCAACCAAGACCCATTGTCTAACAAATATGCAGTGGAAGAAAGTGGAGATGGATCGGGCATACATTGAGAAGACCATTCAGAGACAACAAGTATCAGGCCAGGCACTCGAGTGGAACCCAGATGGGAAGCGACGAGTTTGGCGTCCCAGTTGAGGGTGACATGGAGGAGATCGTGTGAGGAAGAAATAAGAGCTTTTAGGCTGTCGTGTAGCTAGGTTCAAAAGATTGTAGAGAATAGAGTGGAATGGAGGCGTGCTATGTTCCAGTAGGAACCGAAGGGATAAATAATAATAATAGTATGTCCATTCGTACCCTTCGTGTATCAAAACTCTTGAAGTAATCTCGTTATACAGTTAAGATGGTAGGGAACGAAGGAAACTTTGTTTGATGATAAAATACTGAAGGAAGAATAAAAACGGCAAGAAATTACCCGTTCCAGGGAAAAACATATTTCCATAACGATGAAATGACACTGTCATTACACGATCAGTTAGATAGAACGCTTCTTGTACACCATCACCATGATGGACATCAATATCGATATAAAGCACTCGTGGATTATATTTTAATAATTCTAGTATTGATATGACAATGTCATTCACATAACAAAATCCTGATGCCTAGAAGAATGGGAATACAGAAAGAATAATGATAATCACTTGATTTTAAATTACTTTAATGCAAATTCAGAATACTCAAGACGAAGTCGAACAAACAAACAAACAAGAACGTAATCAAATTACCTCAAACTTCTTAGCATGATGAAGTCCTCCTGACCAATTGACTGCAATATCTGTTGCCTAGAGTAATAAATAAATTCTTTTATCAATAAAATGAATATAGAAGTAGTATTCATCATGGACTGATATCAGTTGGGGAACCATTGAAAATCTGGGAGCACTGGACAGCTGTTTCGTCCTAGTATGGGACTCCTCAGCAGTACGCACCCACGACCTAGCTAGGGATCGGACTCAGGACCCTCAGGTGTCACGGGGAACGAGTTAACCACTCAGCCACTGGGTCGGTCTCCGGTGGTTCACAATTTCCAACTCCTGTCAATTCACAACATAGCGCGACTATCACCAAAGGTCTTCAGTTAGCATTCACTTCACTTCCGACTGGTTGAAGTGAAGTGGGTGCTAACTGAAGACCTTGGGTGACAGTCGCGCTATGTTGTGAATTGACAGGAGTTGGAAATTGTGAACCACTGGAAACCGACCCACCGGCTGAATGGTTAGCACGTTCGCCATGAAACCTGAAGGTCCTGAATTCGGCCCCTAGCCGGGTTGTGGGTGCGTACTGTTGAGGAGTCCCATACTAGGACGAAACAGCTGTCCAGTGCTCCCAGATTTTCAATGTTTCCCCAACCAATATCAGTTCATGATGAATACTAGTTCTAAATTAAAAATCCCCACTCATTTCAAAAATGAATATACCTACTCCATTATTAAGATATTTAGCGCCTTGTAATGATGCACCAGTATAAATTGAACTAAAATTATAGATACCATCAAAAATTGGACTAAAATAAAACAAGAATTAATGCACAAAAGTTTAAATCATAAATGCTTAAATTACCAATCTTCACCAATATTATAAGTGAGTAGCTTTTCTTTAGGAAATGTATGTACATTTGTTGGGTTTACATCACGTAAAAATTCCACATATTCTTGTGAATGAAATGAAATCATATCTTTCATACTAGCATGATAGGGTTTATACACCTTAGACAGTAAGATAGAAAAAGAATTTTTTTATTCATTACAAGAATCAAAACATTTACAGTATTGTATAAAAAAAAAAAGAAAAATTCCTTTCCTACCTTCATTCTATCCGTAAGATTATAATTCACTATAAGTGTATGAGCTAGTGTAAGTCGATGAGGTTTCATTGGATGATTTGGTCCTAATTAATAGTTGGTTAATAAGTACATCAAGAAACAAATACACTAACCATAATGGAAATTTCCACAATCTGGATCATAAAAATAGACAACACGTTTGTCTTTACCCATAATTATCAAAATGCACGTTGAATAGTTCAATTAACTTCCGTTCACTGGGTTGTTTAACCTAAAAGAAAAAGAATTTTAAAAGAAATAATTAGTAATTCCTGTTATAACTCTTAAAAATATTTGATAGAAATAGACGCTGGATTTGAATTCAATGCATCACTTAAACAAGCCATTTAAAAACTGCCAACAGTGTAACCTTTCATTATGTAATTTGCCTTTCTCTCTCCACAGGCATTGACCTAATCCCTGCAGGTCATTTGGTTGACATAGAGCATGCAGACGATATTGTCCTGTAAGGTAAAAGCACCGACAGAATGCAGGGGATTCTACAAAACGTTGAGCTGAAATCTGACTGGCATGTGTTTCACTGGCATCTGCCAATGTAAGATGATGCTCCAAGCATGACTGCCCTGTTGCAAGTACTCCCTGCCTTATCATAGGGAGTGAAATGGTGGAATGTGTCGACCACTTTACCTACTTAAGGAGTTGCATCAACCCGGACGGGCTGGTTGCGGACAAAATCTCGGCCCGGATACAGAAGACACGTTCGGCATTTGCCATCTTGAGTCATCTGTTGTGTCGGTGAGCTATCTGACTGCCTATTACAGGACGAGTATACTTCACTGAGGTCTGTTCCCTCCTGTTGTTCAGTTGTGAGACATCGCGGTTAAAAGTAGGAGATATGAAGTGACTACAGAATTTTGATCAGAGATATTTTCATAGCATTGCTGGCGTTTGGTGGAATCACCGTGTGAGTAATGTTGAAGTCAGGCGAAAGCTATTAGGCAAGACAGTTACGTCGACTGATGAAGTTGTGAACCTAAGTCGACTGAGGTCTCTTGGACAAATACTTCACATGCCGATCCGCCACCCACCTCAACATGCCATGCAAGGGAAATTGGATTAGGTTGGAAGAAGGTTCAGAGTGGTCAGACCAAGATGTGGTACCAGTCGATAAAGTCTCTTACTGTTGGCCTGACCCGTGTGGGGAGATGTAGACTGTCTGGTAGGGGTCTCTGAGACGAAGGGAATCGGTGATTGAGAACTATTGATGACATGGCTGAAAATCGTCAACTCATAATGGTGCAGGTGCATTAACTCCTTGACATCTTCTGCAGCTTGAACATTCGCACTAACATTTATCTTCAGATTGTTTATTCTCTTATACAACTTTGTGTACTTTGATATCATTTTCTTATGCATCTGTTCTTCGTGTACTACTGTAAATTGTTGCAACTTGGGTCGATGCACCTGTGTGTAAGGCTATGCGTTGGTTTTATCTGCCTGCCTGTCGTTCTACGTTGACTGGGTTTATTTCGTCAGCAGTTGTCGATGCAATAAAGAGATACGGGCCCTGTGCTTATTTAGGCGCATTGCCCCATTGTTGTCACTCTAACTGACTTTGAAGTCAATGCTTTTTGTCACCGTTTTCGATCCATGGAATGGCTATTACCACACTCTCATCATCATGCAGTATCTTATCCCCAGATAGCTTAGTTTCGGTCATTAGATACTCTTCAGTTCCACAGACATTACTGGTCAATGACCCCATAGACTCTTAACTCATTTTGTTTTCGACATTATGCAATGATCGTTTTTCAGTCAATTGGTCCGTCAGTTAATCGAAAGCAACGTGGGACCTAGTCTTACTGCGTAACGGTCCAAGTTACTACACCTAATGTCAGGAACTTAAGCTGGGAGGCACCAAAACGAAAAATGAAATAATAAAAAGAAGAGTAGTCAAAATAGTAAGAAGGTTTTAATGATCCCGGCAGAAGGTCATGGAACTAGAAAAAGAGAGGATGAAACAATAAAATTCGATATGACGATTAAGGGAAAGATAATGTGGTAGCATCTGCGTTGCTTGTATCGATTCTAAGCCATATCATGTACAGTCTCCAACAACCAATTTTGGTTGTCACTTGAACCAGAACCGGGACGTCTGTATTTCTATACGTAGCTTAGACTAGCATTCAAAGACTTCATGAACTGATACCATCTTTATTCTAGTCACCTTAAACCCTTTTCCAACCTAAACCTACTTCAGCTAACATTACACAACCGGATAGACATTGAATAGGTATGCGTAACACTTATGTCCTAGCCATCTGAGTCTATGAAGGTTGACAGCCTCAGTAACTGAATTTCCTCTTCTACGTCGAAATCTACGTTTAACTTCTATGTTATTAACGTGATGACATCACAACATAAAGTCTACACTACGCCAACATTTGAGGACCAACACTTAAAGCCTTCTCATATCCTTTATTTTTAATGGCTGTGTTTTACATTCATATGGTAGAAAAGGTTGAATTGCAGTGCAGTACACATTTTGCTCTTAGTGGCCAGCAGGATATTACGGGAGCGTAATAAATGGCATCAGTTAGCGACGGTCACGCGAGCCTTTTTTATTCGTACAGAGACTTCCTCTGTCACTGACCCACCATAACTGATCCTACCTTCCAAATAAGTGAAGCGGTCAATGCGTTCAACCAGTTCACTTTTTTTTGTTAGACAAAGCATCAGAGAAGACCAGTCCTGAAGTAACGATTTACATTTGGGTAGTGGAAAACACTCCAAACATTTTCACATTACTAATAGGAGATTTATGCCAGTGTTCCATATGCAGGATCCGACTGGTTAATAAAAAACGGAATAACTGGAGACCAGTGGAAATGTTTTTCGAAGTGTTCCACCTATCGCTCCAGGCGTCTCCTCGAATTGCGAAAAAATCTTAGGCGCATCCTTCTCTGCTATGTCCTCACTAAACACTGACATTTTAATTCAGTTTGCCCGTTCAGCCTAAATAGACTTCCTGTTACCCGTTGCTGCGGCCCTTTGCATTTCGTTAGCCTTCACTACTCAATATCACTCGCGGTCACTGCGTAAGCTCTGTCAGCATACATTTGACTTGCTCCCAACCCTTATTGTGCTTTGAAACTGCAGGGATGAATTCTCGTAGATGAATTAATTCAAAAGAAGCTGCTGAGATTCAATGACTTTCTACCCTCTTTCTGAAGGTCAGTTAGTCATTAGCGCTGTTTTCAAAGTAGATTGGAGATGGCAGCGGGCGTTTTCATGACTAGTGGCCCTGTCAGACTCCTCTCATTGTCTAACCAGTTCTTCGTTGAGGACAACCTTAGTAATCTCATCATCGAGTTGGGCTCAGAATAGTCTTGTAGCTGTGTTTTGCTACATGCGTTTGGGCACAGACACATGTGTTCAATGTCCAAACGCGTTTTTCAAGAGGATCGACAGTCTTCTACTGACGTTCTTCAGCGGTAAATAATAGCAGTGTGGTCTACTTGTGTCCACCGTTGAGTTCAGATTGTGATGGAAACTACGTCAGACGATATTTCTCTTTATGTTCGAGGTTTATGCTGATCAGAAAGAAATGGTTGTCTCAACAGGTGATGAATATTCTCTATTCGTCGAGTCGGAATTTGGGAAGCGCCACCTACGTACCTTTCTATCTGACTTATTTTATCCATTTACGCATGGAAATCGCATGCTACAACAACCACATCTGACCATTAGGAGGCTACCCAGCTTTTGGTAGAGAAGGAGCTGCAGAGCTGGGAGAAGTTAGAAAAAGTGAAGGAATATCGACTGAGACACATCAGGAAAGATTATCAGGTAAACATGCTGAAGGTTGGTAATGATCTCAGAGAAATTGAATGCTGACAGAGTTGTGTGGGTGGTTGACACTTCCAAGCTGCCCATCCCGTGGAATACTACACCTTCCTTAGGTACTAAAGAAGAAGCTGTATCATTGACATTGGTGTGTAGCCGTTGGGTCGGAGGACATGTGGTTGAGGTTGATCACACACGGTCATTTTGAAATTTCGAGATATAACTTCGATTATGTTGAATCTATCTGAGAAAGCCATATCGCCAACACTGGAGGACCACAGGGTAGCAGAGAGTATGCAATTTTGTAGTTGACATCAACTTAACCAAGTCGTCTTCTGTATGGGAAGTCAGCCTCACAGTAGTTCTACTATTCATCGGCATGAAACAGTTTACCGCTGTCACACTCCTACTCACCCAGCATTACCACTTCACCCTCGGACTTCTATCATAGCACAAACTACAAACAACACTATTACGGTAACTAATTTGGTCTTACCACTATGCAACAAACTTCTGTTATGGTATGACCTCAGGGAATAAATGTTCCCATGAGAAAACCTCTTTGAGTTATTATCATATATTAAGCCTGATGACCAGTTAGTAGCTCTCAATCAGGAGTTGGTGCTTTTGCCCAGAGCCTGGAGTTCCAGAAAGAGAGTTTTAGTTAATCATTGAGTTTGTAGACCAACATTAACTGAGGTGATTGGAACATTTATCACTCATGTCGTGGATTAGATTGTTAGTGAAGGATAGTCAGAGCTAGATGTGGGAGCAATCGTTCTTCTTACTAAGTGTTGGTTCAGTGTCTTTGAGGAGCTCAGTGCAGTTGATTGGAAACGGATACTGAAATGGTTTAAGGTGATCAATGTATCATAGATGCACATGTTTCGTTATTTCCTTATCTATGAAAACCTTACTAATCTCCGTTTATTTTTCCTATCTTCTCTGATATCATTCTAGTTTATTTTAATAGTTTTCCAATTCATACGAACTCTTCTGCCCCTGCTCTTATATTATGGGGTGACTTGGATCACTGCATTATTCTGTGTTGTTTTATATTGGTCTAGTCTGTCACTTCAATCACTTGCTATAAAATTTTATGGGTTATTCGTCTCTGTTATTGTTTTCAAGCTAGTATCCTGTTGATGTAACTCTAGTTCTGTTGTTACACACTCTTTCCGGACAAACTGTTTCCTGTTATCTTTTAGGTGTGCCGAATTCTTATAGCACTGCTGACACCCAAAGGTTCAAAGGAACAAGTAACCTGCGTTACATCCTCAAACTGTAGACAGAGCAAACTTATTTTCGTGCTGTTAAACTACAAGTCTTACATAGGATAGTTGGGTGTTAGGACACCACACAATATT